CTCTTCTTTCTATAATCTATTCTGTCTAATCATCAAAACCATAAATCCTAAGTTTTTTCTGTTTCATGCAAAAAGTTTATAAGGGGCTTCCAGTCAGCAATAAACATACATTGTCTTTTTTTTTTTTAGATTTTTTATCTCATCTTTATTATTTTTATAAATAACTCAGTGTGGTGAACATACCTAAAACCATTCCTCCATTGTGGGTAATGCAGAATCTTTTCATCTTTGCACATACAATAATCTTGCTGCAGTTATCATGTACAAAAACAAAGTTCCATGAGTTTTTTCCAGCTCCATCTATCAATCTCAAAAGAAAAATCCCAGGTTTCAATTGTGTATCGGTCTTTAAAATCCTCTGAATTATGTATGTATATATTTGATTCTAGAATTTTCTGTCTTTTTTACATGTCTACCAAACATGATAAAATGTCCCTTCTTCTTGTTCGCATTTCCAATATAAGTTTGAAGTGCCTTTATACATTCTACACAATTTTTCTGGCAGCATATACCAAAGGTACATCATTTTATAAAAATTCTCTTTAAGATTATAACATAATGTAAATTTCAATCCATTCAGCCACATTTTTTCCCTTTGTTCTAACTCTATATTATAACCAAAATATTTAGCCCACTTTATCATACATTATTTCACTTGTTCTTCTGTTTTTCAAATTTCAATAAAAGTTTATACATTTTAGCAATTACATGTTCATCATTTGTACACAATTCTATTTCAAACTCAGTCTTAAAATGTTCAAAACCATAAATTCTTTTGTCTAAAACTTTTCAATAATTGTAAATAAGAGAACCATTGACAAATATATCCCTCTGCCATCAGTTCTTCTCTTGATTTTATTTCATACTCCCCTTGACAGAATTCTAGTATCTCATAACTTAGCCATTTGTGTTTACTTATTATTTCTCATTTATCAAATGCTACTTTTGCTGAGAGCCACAAAGGTGTTTTCGGGCACAACCTGGGTTTGTATCTACAGGTAATCCTCAACTTATGATCACAATAGGGACTGGAAAATTCATCATTAAGCAGTGAGGTCATTAATCAAGGCATCATGTGACCACACCTTATTTTATGACTTTTTTGTGGTGGTCATTAAGTGAATCATGATGGTTGTTAAGTGAATTGTGTGGTCATTAAATGAATCACATGTCGTTAAGTGAATCACATGGTTCCCCATTGATTTTGCTGGTCGGAAGCCAGCTGGGAAGGTCGCAAATGGCAATCATGTGACTCCAGGATGCTGTAACCATTGTAAATACATGCCGGTTGCCAAGCACTCGAATTTTGATCATGTGATTATGGGGATCCTGTGACAGTTGTGTGAGGACTGGTTGTAAGTCACTTCTTTCAGCGCCACCGTAACTTCAAACAGTTGTTAAACTAATGGTCATAAATCAAGGACTACCTATATTCCATATTCTAAATATGGCACATCTTAGCACAATGAATTTTAAAATCCACATTAACCTTAACTTTGTTGTACCACAAATATCCATGCCATCCAAAACTCAGGTCATGTCCTTCTAACTCCAAAAGCCTTCTCTTTCTCAGAAGAGGTAAATGTTTTACATAATGAAAAGTTTCATCTGTACAAATTCCTGTGAGGAGGCTCAGTTCACATTTCTTTAGAAATACTGAGTTGTTACTAAAGCTAGAGGAGTAGATATATGATTTTTTGGATTTTGCAATACCAGTTTATGAATAGTACAAGTTGGTAGTAAACTGCTTGAATACATTTGGGTCTTGGACTAACTTCCAAGGAGTCTTCTATAGGCAGTCCCCATGTTAAGAACGAGATCCGTCCCTAAGTCTGTCTTTAAGTTGAATTTTATGTAAGTTAGAACTCGTACTTATGAACAGGCTGCCTATTACTAAAAATGGTGGATGGGGTTCTTCCTCGAGCCGACGAACCACTGAAGCCATGCAATGTTTTCATGAACCACTGAAGCCACTTGTTTTTAATATACAGCCTGTTTTCAGTGGTTCATGAAAACATTGCATGGCTTCAGCAGTTCGTTGACTCGAGGAAGGAGAACCCCATCCACCATTTTTAGTAATAGGCAGCCTATCCGTAAGTGGGATGTTCTTAACCCAGCGATTGCCTGTATTCTACTGTAAATCCCACCCACCATCTTGATACTACCTTTTTTAAACATGCTTTAGACATCCATTAACAGAACTTTGTCCTCATACGTAATTTATATCGAGACATCTTGGTTGATACACTGCAGTGTGTCACTTAAGGACTTGCTCATTTCAAAGGACAGTATGGTTGTATTTATTTATTTATTTAGATTTGTATCCCACCTTTACCCCAGAAGCTCAACATGAGATGCAGATCTAACAATCTCCCTTCTTTAGTATGTTCTACAGAAACAACCCTGTGAGGTAGGCTGGGCCCAAAGTCACCCAGTGAGCTTCCGTGAATGAGAGTGAACCTGAACCCAGGGTTCCCCAGTCTGAGTTCAATACCTTAACCACCTTAACACTAGAAGAAGACTGGAATCTACTAGAGCACTATTTCTCAAACTTGGCAACTTTAAGACATGTGGACTTCAACTCCCAGAATTCCCCAGCCAGCATGTCTTAAAGTTGCCAAGTTTGAGAAACACTGTACTTGAGTATAACTGCAGCCTTCCTGTTTACCACTTCTGGTAAATGCCAGAAGAATCAAGCATAGACAACTGAGAGAGGTCACATATGGATTATCCCTCACAAAGACCAGAAATTATAGCACAACCAGATTTGTAAACTAGTGGCATTTGCAATTTCAAAAAGAAGTAAAATACCTGTTTAAAGGTTAAATAATATGATACAGTAGGTACAGAAGCAGGTTTTTTTTACCTTCTCATGTTTAATTGTTTTAAACTTGATTTTAAAAAGCAAATTGTGTTTTCCTATTCCTGTTAAATATGCCAAGCAGTGCTCCTATCAAGTTATTTCTTGTGTCGTTTGCATTCAAGAAACTGTGGGTGGTTTAAACAATGATTACCAAAAATAAGCCAGGATCTGAAATCTTGGTGGCCTGTTTGTCCCTGTGACTCAAAAATCTAAAGAATTTAATCTGAGGAATTTAGATTAATCTTAGATTAATCTTAAACAATATGAGGGACGTTGGGCTGGAGTCTAGAGGAGGAAGACATTAAGGAATAAAGCAAAGCCCTTCCCACAGTAGAATGAGGGAAGATAACCAACTCACTTCAACAACTCTCTGAATCAGGAAAAGTTAGGATTTCATTAGCACCAGGTTTCATGCATGGTATTGAACTAAAAAACAAATCCTTTAAACATTCGCCTCTATTGGCGTTTACAGTGTGCTTTTCTCACATGTGGCTGAATAACTATTGGCAGGAATTAGTCTTTCTCTCTTTGCCTCTGTCATACACCCACACATGGAGAGAAGGATAAAGGAAATGTTCTTAGGCAGATGTTTATGTCATTGTCAGATCCTTTCCTGCATTCACTCCATTACTAAAAATCCCCACCATCTCTCGTGACTAGCATTGGAGAGCATGAAGACAGGAGTGATGGAGGCAGCAGGGTGGTTCTCACACAAGCATCCTGAGGTCCTCTTCCTTATATCTCTTTCAGCCTTTATTTTTCTTTTCAAATAACTTTATTAAGAATCATAAGTGGAAAAATAAAAGCCAATACAAAAGACAAAAAATGCAAACAGAAAAATATTCAAGGGGGCGGGGGAGAAGGGAAGGGTGTAGAAAGGAAAAAAGAAAGAAAAGAGGAAAAAAGAAGTAACTTCCCCCTCCATTCCAGCAAGTAAAGACAAATTTAATGGCCTGTCACCACCTCTAAATACAGCATAATCTCTCTTCTCCCATAGCTCATCTCTTAAGTAAAAAAAAAATAAAATAAAATCCAAATGCTTCGTTTATCATTCTTTGTCAGCAAAAGTCCAGTAAGGGCAACCAGATATAACTGTTTTCCTCTTTTAGCCCTTATCGAACAAACCGATCTTGCATTCCTTCCCAGAATTTTAAAAAATATTCTTTAGCCCCTTCAGAGAGAGTCCCAGAGGTAGTTTGCTGGTCGTCTGTGTTTTAAGGCAAAAATCTTTCAGAACTTTAACAGGTATCTTTTGTATATCCAATAAGTAAAGTTTATCCTTTTGTTTATGACTTATAATAAAGTCCTTCAAAACCTTAACAGAGCTCTTTTGTATATCCAGTAAGAAAAAATTATCCAAATTGATTTCTTGGATTAATATCTGTACATGTCCTTTAGAGAATAAGTTATCCATCAAATCCATTCGTATTACATTTAAGTCCCCCTTCCAAGTAATTTCGTAGACATCCATTGCAATTTGTTCTTGTTCTATAACTTCATTACACATGTTCTGTCCATCTTGTCAATTGATCCATTCTATTAAGAAGCTTAATAGAGAGATATTCAAGATTTTGCAGGATAGATTTCTACTCCATATTATTTTATCTGCTCCATATTGTTTATCCTCTAGCTCCCTCTAGTGTCCATCCTTCAAAGTCTCCTCATTGTAAAAACAGCCAAA